ACTCTTTCCAGCGACTTTCCTTGTTTGGCGTCTATGCATATTTATATTACTTTGTTATCAAGACTACATTATTATTTAGGGCTAATAGGCGAACGTATTTCTCTTAAAATTGGAATTAAATTTTTATTTGAATGAGATTTCGAATGGAAAGGCCTACGGCGAAGGAAAGGGGTACGGTATACGATCATACACTCGACGTCATTCATTTTATATCAGGAGGAATTTGCAAATTGAGCGAGTCGTCATTGGATACGAGAGAACAAGGTATTAGATGGTGTCGCGGGGATCGGATAAGGACCTATCCCAACAATAATAGTTGCTGGCCCAAACCAAAGTCAGACGCGCCATTAAACCTCGGCTCATCGGGTCAAGCCGACTCGACTCCTCTTCCGGGTACTCACCCTCGCAGATGTAGCCTTGCTGGATGATGCCCCAGAGCATGTCGGTGCAACTGTGGCAGTAGGTCGGCTTATGGAAGGTCTTCTTGGCGAAGGTGTGCCCGTGGCCGGGCGGGGCCCCTTCGGCGGGCCCGGCCATGGCCCCGGCTGCCGGCGGCTTCGCGGCACCGGCTCTCTCCCGCCAGATCCTCACCGTGAGGCCGCTTCACAGACTCTGGCCACCCGACGACCGCGGCTCCGGCGCCCCTCACCTCTCATCGCGCCACCTTTTGCTGTCCCTTTTCCTCCTCCTGCCCCTCCTCCACGTCCGGCGCCACCTCCTCTCCCGCGTCCTCGGGCTCTTACTGCTCCCGGTGCGTCCACGAGACAGTCCGTGCTCGATGCGGTCCGCTTCACATGCCAGGGGCGCTCTCGCAACCGTGGCTAGGTAATGGTCTCGGGGCGACCCGGGCCGGACGACATCGCGGCCCGGCCTCGTCGTACGGACTGCTCAGTACCGGGAGCGCTATGTCGCGGCCACGGCCACGGACTCCATGCCTCGGCCCCGGCATCGCAGGCGGGTGCTCAGTCGCAGCTGGCCCCCGTCGGCCCTACGGTTGAGGCTCTTCTAGCCGGCAGCGCCGGCATCGCCGAGAGGAACCCCGAGCTAGCTCAGCTTCGTCCCTCACTCGATCACTAGCACCTTCTCCCCCTCCTCCACCTCCGCCCCGCGATTAGACGTCACCACTATCGCTGCTGTTGATGCTGGTGCTGATGCTGTTGCTGCTGCTGTTGCTGCTGCTGCTGCTGATGATGATGATGCTACTACTGTTGATGTAGATACTGCTACTGCTGCTGCTGCTGCTGCTGCTGCTGCTGCTGTTGCTGCTGCTGATGATGATGATGATGCTCCTGCTCTTACTTCTGCTGATGATGATGATACTGACGGCTGTGCGCGAGTGACTGCTTCGCCGATTCTACGACCTCCGGAGCTCTTCGCGGCACCGACGCGGCAAGCCGCCGCTGCTGATGCGAGCCTACAATTAGAGTATAGTCGCGCATGAGTGTCTCAGTGTTAGAGAGATAGGGACGTGGCGGGAGAGCACAAAGGAGGAAGGGTGATGAGAAGAGTGAGCGGGAAGGTGACGTTGGGAGGGAAAGCGCTTGCGCTTTTCCGGCGAGTGAGCGCGTGCGCGCCAAGTCGACAATACCGAGGTTCAATCGGCGTCTTATATGTGCTCTGCAGGGAGTGTGTTGAAAGTGTTTTTCTTGACGCTCCTTCTATCTTATTTTCCCTTGCATCTTTGCTATCGCTCTAGCCCTACCTCTCTTTCCCCTTCGTGCCATCTCACCCTTACCGCCTCTGATTTGGAGACGAAGCGCTTATGATAAAGGTATGGCATGTTTCTTCATACGGGAGATTATTTTACAAGGGGTTTTGCATTTGTTTTTTTCCCTCGTTATGTTGTCTTAAGAAGTTGATTGGATCGTGTCGATATATTCGTAAACGGTGATTTTTTTTTTCTTTTTTTTTCCGGAAAATCACCCGGCTCTGCGCCCTAAAGCCCATGGACGGAAAAATAGCAATAAGCACGATTCAGCAATCCTGTCTATTACTACTTGAATGATTGATTCAACATTTTGTATTAGCCCCGTTCCTGTATCGTCCATACATTCAATGTCGATTAATTCAAAAGGTTATTTACGTGACATCTGGAAATACGTCAAACTGATGAAAACCTGATTTCTAAGTCACTTAATATTACGTTTCTTTAAAAGACACACCGATCTATAAATAAGTGGCACTGGCATGATATTTTTATAAAAGCGAATAAATCCTACTAATAATAAAGCGACATGCGATCGAAGCTGTATGAATTTATATCGTTACAATTAAATAATATCACCTCAGCTGCACTTGAATTCCCTATTTTATTCCTTCTAAACGCGAGAAAATAAATACCCAAGACACACGTTCTTTTCGTTCCAAGAGTAGAAGTACGTTGAAGCGTCGGTTATAATGAAAACAAATGAGCATGTATATGCGCGCGCGCGCCAGTGTGTTTGTGTGTTGTGTGTTGTGTGTGTGTGTGTGTGTGTGTGTGTGTATGCGTGTGCGTGTG